CCGACTTCGGGCCGTACCCGGCCAGGAGACCTCGGGCCGGCCCTCTTATAAGCCGCACCCGAGCCAGCCCAGCCTTGCCTCGCCCCAAAACCCTAACCCTAGCCCCGCGTCATGCCGCCACCGCCGCCCGCCGCTGCCGCTGCCGCGCCGGAGTCGCCGGACCTCGCCGGACCCGCCGGACCCGAGGTAGCTGCCTCGGTTTTCATGAGAAAACCGTTTGGTTTTTTCGAAACCCTAGATCCGTTTTTTTCTTAGATCGGGTTCGGTTTATTTTTGGTTTAGTTATTTAGCAAACGCCCGTTTTTACGTTCGTTTTAACGATCGGTTTTCACCGTTTAACCGGAGACAGCGAACGTTCGTTCGTTAACCTGTTCGTCAGTTTTTCTTTTTCTCGGATTTTCCGCGATTATTTTCGATCGTGATTTCTGATCCGATTTTCGTTTTAGTATAACTTTTCGCTCGTTTATCGGAATCAGGCGATTCAAGGCCTAGAGTTTCGTATCGAAACCCTCTTTCCGTTTAACCAACTTGAACAAGATTTTGAGACAGTAAAATTTGACTTTAGTCCAGATTAGTAATTGGATCTTTTTTTCGCAGTTTGAGTTTGTTGCTCTGTTTGATTTGATTCTTTTTGTAAATCGGAGTTCTTAAGTTGAATTTTCTGGTTAGATCTCTTATTTGAGTTTTACTCGTGCCCTTGTTTGATTGCTTATTGTATGCTTGTTTGATTGCGATAGAGTACCGGAGTGCGAAGCGTGCTACATCGAGTCTCTAGGTTTTGCGGATCATCAGCAAGGCAAGTAACACTTTGATCATATCCCTTTATCACCTAGTTTTTATGCATTAGTTTCAACCCTCAAACATTGCATGATTAGGACTTGATAACATGTGGGATTGGGAAGTAGTTGATGAGGTAGAACCTATTTCTCTGTTATTATCAAACCCTTGGGAGTTACTTCTACGTATTGCTTATATTGCTATGCTATGCTCGTAGACGTGGATTGGATTTGAGTGGAACCATGACAGATGTGAGATTGTTAATTAATGGTTCAACTTAAGGTGGCAACTTTAATACACATCTGGGTGGATTGCTTGTCGGGCACCTGGAGAATCCAGTGTTGTCCTAGGATATCCCGGAGTACCCGTGTGATAATCCTAAGGTCCGCCACCCAGACTCAAAGGGAACTGAGATATTTCATGCTAGAAACTTCCGTGTGCAGCCACAAGCTATTATGGGCTCTAGCATAGTTGAGTAAGGTGCGTGAAGCTCTTGAAGAGGTAGACTAGCAGGTAGTGGGTTGTAGGTGGTATAGTCTATCCGGAGTAGAGAGTTAATGCTTCTGAAAGACTGTGTCTCGGTCATCCGTTTCTCAAACATCATGTAGTGCAAGAAATCCAACGGAGGAGATCGAGTCTTGCGGGGAAAAGTGCGCAAACCTCTGCAGAGTGTAAAAACTAATCATGGTTAGTCGTGTCCCCGGTTATGGACATCTCGAGTATCTAGTAATTGGATTATCATATGTATCTCATCACTCTAAATTAATATTGTTGGGTTGATAATTACTTTTAATTGGGATTGAGTTGGAGGAACCTTCTCAATGATGTTTCAACTACCATGATAGTTAAATAAAATCTATTCCTTTGTTGTAGGGAAAAATTGGCTTTTCTCAAAACTTTAACTGTAGAGCTTTCCACCAGCCAAATATGCATATAGTGATAGCATTATTCTGTTCTTGCTCTACCGTGTTATATTGCCAGCATATTCCATGTGCTGACCCGTTTTCGGGCTACAACGTATTATGTTGCAGACTTTTCAGACGAGGAGTAAGGTTCGTTAGGTCGTTGCCATGCAGCTCAGCTATGCCGTTGGAGTTGATGGACTCACTTTATCTTCCAAGCCTTCTGTTGTTATCGTATTAGATGGACTTAAGCCATATTTATTGTAATAAGTTCTCTTTTGAGACATTCGATGTAATAAGTGTGTGATTGCTACTCTGTTATAAATCTTTCGAGTATTGTGCGTGTCAGCATTACTGATCCAGGGATGACACTGAAGCACAGAGACTTGACCGTTTGAGGTCGGGTCGCTACATGGACCTATAAGATGCACATGCATCTTGAAGCCATCGGCAACGACCTCTGGTATGTCGTCAAGACAGGCGTTCCTAAAGTTGGTGAAGGTGTCACCGCTGCTGATGTGAAGAGGTTTTCTCAACTAGATTCAACCTCCAAGAACATCATTTGTGGTCATCTGGCCAAAGGGCGGTATGGTTGTGTGAGTGCTCTCAAAACTTCAAAGTTGATCTGGGAGTGGCTCTCCAAAGTCAATGAGGGTCCCAATGAGATTCTCGAGTTGGTGTTCTTCGCAATCTCTTCAACCGCTTCAAGAGGCTCGACATTGAAGATGTTCAGCTCACATTTGATCATCTCACTGGTATCTCTAATGAGCTCTCTCCGCTCACTAGTGGTCACAGATCCGGCCGGATCCCCTCCGCCAGGGAAGGAGGGAGGTGCAGCGTCACGCGGTCGCCGTCGCCGAGGAAGGAGACCCACTGTCGGTGTGTCCCAATCTACGGGCCGTGTTGTTCTCTATGACACAGCACCGACGCATGTGTGCCTCCAACCCATTCTTCCTTGTTGTTGTAGTGTGGGAAGATTCACCCACCCTCCACCCACATAGCCACATCTCGGCGACCCTCAGGTATAACTTCCTTCGAAACCGGCCTTGCCCTACTGCCCCAGCTCCCCATCTCGATGTATGTGGATATTTTCAACTTCGCGGCCCCACTTGTAGCTACGCTCGATTGGTTGTTCCAAAGCCCTCTAAATTTTTACTATTACAGGTAAGGCTACTACGTGCAGTCGAATCTAGGACTCGGTTCATGCAGCTGGAGCAGCCACCATGTTGAGCCACTACCCCACCACGTCTGTTCGCCTGGGTCCAAGCGTCAGATCCAAATGGGCCCGCGACCACCACTGACCTGCAGCCGCCGCGCTGCAGGAGCACACTCAGGCCACCGCCCCGCCGACCACGCACGTCGCCGCCCCGAGCATCTGTTTTCACCCTGCGCAAGCGCAACACCTCCATGCGCCCAGGCTGCCCCGTACCAGCCAGGGGTGGGCGAGAGGAGGGGAACGAGGCCTCACCACCACCAAAAGCTAGCCATTCTTTGCCCGGTGGCGGCGAGGGGAGAAGGAGGGGAGGAGTTGGAGTCCCGGCGCGGGCGGGGACGGGGAGAAGGGTATGGTCTTGCAAATTCCTTGAACATTGTAATAGGAATGTGAATAAGGTTGCTAATGAACTCGCTGGGCTAGCTAAATTTTTCTGTGACAAAGGATTGGTTTGAGGAGTCTATGAACGATATTGTACCTCTTCTTCTAGACGATGTAACCGTTTTTTTCAATTAATAAAATTGATGATTTTCAAAAAAAAGATCGCAAAGTGTTTGGTGAGGCCAGGACCGCATGCTAGGCCTTACAAGTTATTCTATTTTTTATAGATAAAAGGCGATAATTACAAGTTATAATAACTTTATGGAGTTAGACCAGGAATACACATTTGGATAGGCCAAATCACACGGAAGTACTGAATTGGCAAAGCGTGTCACTCTTGAGCAACTACATGGAGGAATTAGCCGTGTCCTTTTTCAAATCAAAGTAACTAAAACTGGTCTGCGCGGAGGCGCGTTGCATTATGTGGCTGACAATATTCCACCGCGTGAATCTACTCAGCAGATGGAGAAAGGTTCCAGTATAAAAAACATTCATGTCTCCAATTTTCAAAAGGCACGATACGGCTTGCCAAGAACAGCGATGTTGGTCACATTTGACGGTCTACTGCTCGTTTGACTGGAGTGAACTAATGTACGTAGATGCTACGACTACCCTGAAGAAAGTAACAGGTTGAACGAAAGCACATAATCTAATTGGAGACCGCAGGTGCTAAGCAAAGAATCTAACGGCCGGCCCAGCAGGGCTGGATCGTTTGCACCAAGGCCTGGACGGAGGAAGGAAGTTGCCGAGCCATTGCCGGTGTCCATACGGTCAAACGCGCGCGTGACCTCACACAGCCTGTGTCATGGCGATGACGACTTGTATATGTCCAGTAGCCATGCCTCCCTTTGCTTGCTTCCTTTGATTCGAGTATCTACTATGGTCGCCCGGTCGTCGGGACCCACTTCCTTGATGATAACCTCCAGTTCGTGTGCCTTTGATCATAAGCCCCGACCCCACATGTCAGTGACACTGGGGGTTATCATCAATTATTCCTGCTTCCATGCAGCTTCCTCCTCCGTCCGTCCTCACTGCTTTCAACATTTTCCTTACTATACTTTTCCTCCCGCCCGATAAGAATGGGAGTGGCAAGCAAACACCTCAACTTAATTAATTAGAGAACCCCTTCACCCTACCTGCGCCTACGCTAAAGCTTATAGCGGTGAACGCTGCACAGTAGCTAGCGGGGTATTACTAGTGGTGTAGCACTGCTGTAGTTGCATGGCATCTTCGGGCAGCGCGGGGAGAGACGTGCCGGCGGCGAGGGCGGCCGCGGCGGTGAACGACCTGATCGAGGCGCGCGAGGGGGCGACGAGGCTCAAGGGCATGCTGCAGGAGCAGTCGTCGGAGTTGACAGAGCTGATGGACGGGATGCTCAACAAGCTGTCCAGCGCTCTGTCGGCGTTGGACACCGGCTGCACGGCCGGAGCGTCCGCGTCCGGGTCGGCCGATGGGGTGATCAGGGCGAGGGCGGAGAGCTCCACCGGGAGGACGAGGAAACGCAGCTTCAGCAGAAGGTTAAAAATCGAACTCTCCTCAAGAGCACACGGTCGATCTGAACAGTGTGTTGTGCTGATTAACTTCTTTTCTTTGGCAAAAGCCAGCCGAGTTCCTTGTGATCGATGCTCATTTTGATTAGTTTCCTCATCAACTTTGCTACCTTTATATGGCAGATTAGAAGGCTTCTCTGGCAAGCGAGATACTGACACGCTGGTTGATGGTCACATATGGCGGAAGATGGGCAGAAAGAAATCCAAAACTCAACTCATCCGAGGTACGTACACTTGTTTTGTTTCTGAAAGAAGCACTAAAACTATAATAGCTAGCACGATTTCTCTTTGCGCACGCTCGCACTGATTTGCGATGGAAACTGGAGGAAATTAAATCATGAGCTTCGTTATGGTTTGATCTTTCAGGAGCTATTACAGGTGTACGCACAAATCAGACCAAGGCTGCAACGCCAAGAGGCAAGCCCAGATCTGCGAGACCCATCCAATCAAGTACGACATCACGTACTACGGCGAGCACACCTGCAAGCCTCCCTCCAATACCCCAATGATCATTGTCGCTGCGAGCGACGACCGTGCAGAAAACCTCGTCAGTTTTGCCCCGACGTTTCCTCATTTGGCCCCGGGCAGTGCACCAGCGTTGACGACGTGTTCAGCTCCTCGTCCGATCCATTCTTGCAGGCGGACGAGCTCGCCGCCTTCGTGGGATCGGCCGGGAGGACGTCCTCGATGGTGGGGTCGGTGCCGGACCACAGCGGGAGTGGGATAGGCGACATGGCGGGAGGCGGCCAGGGTGGCGGCACGGGCAGTTTCCCGTCGTCGCCGAGCAGCCTCGGGTTCGTGGTGGGCTCTCTGGGCAGCATCGGAGATGACGATTTTTTCCTGTTCGATCCATGACAAGGGATTGAATCTTTTTTTTTTCCGGTGGTTCCATCCATCACTTCACTTGCATGCAAGCATGCATGCATTGCATATGGCATCCCGTGCATCATGCATGCATGCGCATAGTGTGCTTGCGCATGAATCTAACCAGTGTGCAACTGTATTTTTTAGATAGTACTCCGTAATAACCAGTGCACAACTGATATTCTGTAGATTACAAAAGGCTTGTAAAGATCAGCATATGTATACGTACGCCAAGCTGTGTGTTTGTGCAGGAATCTGTTATAGATCGCCAAATCGAGTAATGATAACAGCGCCAGTTTACCCAAGATACTAGATCCGGACTTTGTAGTTTCCAAGCGCCAGTTTACCCAAGATGTTGATGTATGAGATACAGTGGAATATTGATATTTACATTTGAATTGTTGAACAAATATGTTTCTGCACAAACATAAAGAGATAAAGGTAAAAATAAATATATTGTCACTAAACTAAAATTAAATTGGCAAAATCAATAAACCATATATATTTTACTTCATATAGTACATGTCCATCAATAAACCAAAAAGTAATTGGTTCAATATGTTGATATCTCACAAAATAACTATTTTTGCTGTAAATCATATCAAAATTTCATATTAGGTGAATAAATGATCCAAATTTTAAATCTGCAAAAAATAATTAAAATAAAATAAGACAATTAATTAATTATTTGTTTCGCTCAAAAAGGTGAGTTGGGTTTTGCTTGAACTCTTCATATAGTCTACAAATAGCTATAGCTATTCTTTTAAGAACATCTATAGCCTCTATAGCCATTTTACTCGCAAAAAAACATCTATAACTATTTTAGGTGAATAAATAACTAACTAATAAATTAAAAAAATAAGGGAATTGGATGGAATGAGGCTTACCTCAACATGCAACCATGCAAGGAAAAATACCCACCACCACATGCAGCCATGCATGAAAAAATATTATTCATTACATTACTCTACTTATATTCAATAAATATTTTACCAATATACATAATCAAATTAACAAGTCATATGTATTTATAAAAATCACATGTTGTTAATCTAATTTGTTTTATTCCACGCTATCAAATATCATTGAAATATATTAAACCGACAAAGGTATCATCTAGTCAATGAAAAGATACATGTTGAGAGATCGGGGAGGGTGTTGGGGAACGTTGCATGGGAAACAAAAAAATTCCTACGCTCACCAAGATCAATTTAGGAGATGACCATCTACGAGAGGAGAGATTGGATCTACATACCCTTGTAGATCGCTAAGCGGAAGCATTAAGAAACGCGGTTGATGTAGTCGGACGTCTTCGCGATCCAATCACGATCCGTCCCACGAACTCCGATCGAAGTGCCAAAGGACGGCACCTTCGCGTTCAACACACGTACGGTTTGATGACGCCTTCACCTCCTCGATCTAGCGAGCGATGGTGAAGTAGTAGCTCGAGTCCTCCGGCATCATGGCGGCATGATGGCAGCGGTGGTGGTGGAATCTTAGCAGAGCTTCGCTAAGCACTACGGATAGGAAGAGGGCTACGAGGGAGAGGAAGGGCAGCATCGTGGCGTGGAGATGTGCTCATGGGGGTGCGGCTGCCCTCTCTCTATCTCTCTATATATAGGGGGAAGGGAGGAGGAGTGGCACCCTAGATCCCATCTAGGGGGCGATGGCCAAGGCAGATGGGGGCGCCCCGCTTCTCCTAGTTACGTGGGAAAGGGTGAGGGCGCGCACAGCCCCTTAGTGGGCTAGTTTGCCCCCTCCCCTTGGCCCATGAGGCCCCCCAACACTTGTCGGGAGCCCCCGAAACCCCTTTCGGTCATGCTGGTCATCACCCGGTACCCCCGGAACAATTCTGGACTCCAATACACTTCGTCCAATATATCAATCTTCACCTCCGCGCCATTCCGGAGTTCTTTTTCACACATGGGATCTCATCCGGGACTCCGAACAACCTTAGGTAACCACCATAATGACTCAACTATACTTATATCGTCACCAAACTCAAAGTGCAACTATCCCTGGGTGGTTTTGGTAATTCCTAATAACATATAGCTCATTGAGCTAATGCTATTCCAAGATAAATATTTCAGGAAAGCTAAATGTTTGGCATGGCATGGATTAGAAAGTGGACCCTTCAAAATGCTGAGGACAAAGGATTGGCTCAAGCTCAAAGCACAAGACTCTATATTTTCTATTTTAGTGATCCAAGATCACATTGAGTCTATAGGAAAAGCCAATACTATTAAGAAGGGATGAGGTGTTGCTTAATGAGAATCGTGCTCAAAATGCTTAGTGGTATGCTCCAAAACCCTCCACTACTTTCTCACTTCCACATATGTCCTAAACCAAAAAGTCCAACTCGGCCCCACCGAAGTGTCTCATCCGGAGCCACCGAGTTTAGTTGACATAGCCACTGCCAGAAACCCTAATCAATTCGGTCTCACCGATAGGGATCTCGGTCTCACCGAGATGGGGTTGCAAACTCTCTGTTTCCCTTCGTAACGTTTTCGTCTAACCGAGATGAGCGATCGGTCCCACCGAGATTGCAATGCAAACTCTCTATTTCCTTTTCGTAACGTTTTGGTCCAACCGAAGAGCGAATCGGTCCCACCGAGTTTCCCAGACCAACTCTCCATTTGGCTATTACCAAAATCGGTCTCACCAAGTTTGTGTAGTCGGTCTCACCGAGATTACGTTATGCCCTAACCCTAATGACATTGGTCCCACCGAGTTGACATGTCGGTCCCATCGAGAATCCTAACGTTCACATTTGAAGAGGACTTCTGACTCTGAACGAGGAAGGCAGCAGGAGCACTCCAAGCAATCTGCCAAAGGCTGCTACTAGAACGAGGAAGAAGAGGACCTTTGAAGATGAAGACTATGTGGCTGTTGAAGATGAAGCCACTTCAAAGAAGAAAGTGCTGAAGAAAGAGTAGGGCTCACCTGTTACAGTCAAGCCCGAGTTGCACAAGAAGGCACCAGCAAAGAGAGTCCCCATATCTAAAGCCAGAGCATCCACTGCTGAAACCTCCAAGCCATCTGAAGAGGCAGTGGGAGAAGGCAAGAAAAGGAAGGAAAGGGTCAAGAAGACCACTGCCAAAGTGCTTGGCAGATCATCAATTATGAGAGATGATGATGAAGAGGAAGAGGATGCTGCACCAGCACCCAAAGATCAAAATCTCATGGGAGATGCGATAAGATCATGGGCTGCTCCATCTAAGCCCAAAACTGCTCCCAAGAAAGCTGCTCCAGCTCCAAAACCAAAACCCAAGAGGAGCACTAGGAACATCCCTGCTGAGGAGAAGAACAAGGCCCCAATGCCTCAAGCTGCTGAAGAAGAAGAGGGAGATGATTTTGTTATTTTGAGGAAGTTGAAGCCAAAGGTCCCTGACCACGCTGATGCTCACCCAGTTGCCGAAAACATGAAAATCAGGAAGGATGCAGGATTGAGACTATGGAGACAGTCTGATCCATATTCTATTAGGAGAAGAACTGCTGTGGACTACATGTTTCACACCAAGGAACAACAAGATTTCTATGAGACAGTGTTGCTTGACAAGAAGCCCATTGTGTGTGATATGATATGGGTTGACTGGGAATTCATCAAGGAGAATGAGGATCACTTCCCTGGAGTACTTGATAGCTTTAAGGCGTGTGGAGTTGATGAGTTTGTGGCTCAGAAGTTCACCAAGTGGAATGATGAGCTCATTATGCAATTTTACTCTACTACACACTTCTATCCAGATGGAAGGATTGTGTGGATGTCTAAGGGTACTAGGTACCATTTTACAATTTAAGAATGGTCCAAACTTATAAATGCTCCCGAGGAACATGAGGATGACTTGGACATTTATGCAGAGAAGAAGAAAGACCACAACTCTATGGCCAATATGTACAAGGAGATCCCAGATGCTGCCTTGGATACACATAAGGTTGGATCTGTCCATTACCTGTTGTCTGGTCTGCCAACAATCAACTGGATATTAAGGCACACTCTGCTACCCAAGTTAGGTGATCACAAGATGATCAGAGGACATGCTATAAACTTGCTGCACATATTTGATGTCCCACAGAAGTTCAAGGTCATGAGTCTGATTGTGGAAACAATCAAGAGGACTGCAGCTGATCAGAAGAGAAGTTGTGGGTATGCCCCACATATTCAGGAGCTCATTAACTCAAAAATGGGCACATGCACATATCTTTTGGACAAGGAGCACCTGCCCATCTATCCTGAATTTGAAGACAGCACTGTGGTGATGGATGAAAATGAACCATCTTCAGCTCAAGCACATGAGAAGAGAGAGAAGGCAAGGGTAGAAAAGGCTGCAAAAATGCCAACTGTTGAGGAGGCATACCAGGTATTCTTGAAGACCAAGCAAGACCAGCTTGGATATCTGATCCAATCCACCCTGAGGATTGAGAAGGGCTTGGCCACCCTAACCAAGAACCAGGAGAGCCTGGAGAGGATTGTTGAGCAAAAGTTCTATGATCTAGATATCAAGGTAACTGAGATCCAATCTGCAGTTGAGCAGCTATAGGAGGAAGTAGAGGAGAGGAAGGGCAAGTCCACTACTGATACTTTCAAGCGAGTGCCACGAGGTCCAAGGTCTGCTGCAGTGCTTGTGATAGATACTCGAGTTTCAATGTCAGCACCAGCAACCACAGCTTCAGTGCCACCTCCAGCACCCACTCCATCTGCTCCAACTACTTCACCGGAAGCTTTCGTCCTTGGAGTCCTATCTACTCCACCTCCTGAAGATCAAGCCTGAGAGTCGTTTTAGCACTATGCATTTTCAAACTTTTTTGGTAACTTGTTGCCAAAGGGGGAGAAAATGTATAGATCATAGGCTTTGAGAGAGAGAG